GTGTGTGTGTGTGTGTGTGTGTGTGTGTGTGTGTGTGTGTGTGTGTGTGTGTGTGTGTGTGTGTGTGTGTGGGGGGGGAGCGTTGCGTTAGCAGCGCAAAGGGTCGTGGGTTCAATCCCAGAGAATACACATACTGGTAAAAAATGTATAGTCTGAATGCACTGTAAGTCGCTTTGGATAAAAGTGTCTGCTAAATGCATAAATTTAATATATATATACACCTTATATTGTTGTTATTATTTGTCAATTTGAATATTAATCCAAATCCATTTTACATAGGCTAATGGTGCTTATATTTTTGTGTATATAAGGACATAATTTATGAATATTTAATGGGGGAAAATGGAATGTTAGATAAAGTTATTCATTTTCAAAAGGTCCAACTGTAGCAACACCTAAAAATGGCTCAATTCACTATATGTGTGACACAAAAAGTGCGATTATTTTGTAGCATTTTCGTCAATAGATGGAGCTGATCTTGTAGTTAAAGTTCATTCGTTTAAAGTTAATGCTAGATTTGTCAAATAATTCTAAAATAGTCGTCATGACAGCACACAGTCACACATTTTGTGAGAAAATGCAAAAAGCATGAGGTTGGTGGACGAGATCCTCTAAACCAGTGGTTCCCAACCCTGGTCCTTGAGGCACCCCAACACTGCACGTTTTGCATGTCTCCTTAATCAAACACACCTGATTCAGATCATCAGCTCATTAGTAGAGACTCCAAGACCTGAAATTGGTGTGTCAGAGAAAGGAGTCATGCAAAATGTGCAGTGTTGGGGTGCCTCCAGGACCAGGGTTGGGAACCACTGCTCTAAACAATGAACAGATTCATCCAATTTTATTATTGTGCCACTTAAACTATTTCTATTCTGTAGCCTGTTTTGTCCGAGTGCTTTCTGAATCAGTGGTTGGCTGCTTGTAAGAACGAGTCCGATGACCCAGATGAATTGGGTCATGCACAATTTGCATGCATATTGATTTTGATTCACAAAAACCACAGTGGCCTCTGGGTAATTTGCATCACCTGCACACCAAATTAATCCGATTCAATCTCACTGGAGCTCATTTGGAAAAGCCCAAAGAGACTCACACCGAAATAATTTTTCATGCACTTTCACTCAGTAAAGTTTGAGTTTTTCCGAGGAGAAAACTAGCACGTAGAACAGAGCTGGGAAAGCGTCCTGCTGCCATCTGCTGGATAGGAGGAGCACGTGCAGGTAAGGGAAAACGCTTATAATGCTGCTGACAAAATAACGTTTTAAATGCATGCATGAAAAGTGAGTAATTATGGGTTCACTAAACCAATAAATCTGCATATACACAACTATTACTATCCAAATCGAATGAGGCAAGTGAACAGGTAATTTTCATTAAGGAGTACCGATGATTTATTGCATGTACCTGAAATACAAATGGTGATTTTATTATATGTAAAACTTGTTTATAATACATTTTTGATTCCCAAGCAGTAGATGTACAGATTTAGATTTAGTGGCATACAGAAAACTACCACATGAATTGTGAAGAAAAGCTAATGGTGCATGTTTGGAACTTCATGTAGGCCTACATCTCGGGATACTCCATTTTCCCTAAAAAAACAAACAAAAATTTCGTCTACACTTTTAAAAATAACGAAGAACCTTTAAAATTCATGGAACCTCATCATTGCACAAAAGGTTGCATATATTCTGCACTCTTAAATATAAAGGTTCTTTATTGGCATCGATGGTTCCATGAAGAACCTTTAACCTCCATGGAACCTTTCCATTCCATAAAAGATTATTTATAGTGGAAAAGGGTTCTTTACACTAATAAAACATAGATCAAGTCATGTTCTTTGGGTAACTAAACTGGTTGTTCTATTGCATCGCTATAACTCCTTCCAAAAGAGTTTCCACCAAACTGCTCATCTTGGCCTCAAGTGGCTCGATGAAGATGCAGTTGGAATCAGTTTTGTTATGGATTCTTTTGGGATTCAGTATTGAAGAACAGGAACACTGCATTTGAAAGACATGCTCTGGATTGGACAAGCGAGTTGACTGAAACCTCAGACTCGCAGTGGAAGGGGAGGAATCTACAACAGGATAAGCCAAAAATGTTGGAAAAACTACCATATTTGGCAACCAGACTTGAAACTGTGAGAACTGGAACTCATCTGATGGAATTGCTAGTGTCCAGGATATTTATATTCCCAATAGCCTACATGTATCAGACAAACGTATAGAATTGGAATCGAAACCACCTCAAACGTTCCATGTACAATTCACCCCCTTTATTGGAAATATACTAGTACCTGGACATTAAAAATGGATCAGTCCCTCAGTATTAATGCATTACAACACTGCCGAATCCGTATGGTTTACTGAACGCCTGTCAGTTAGTTTGCCAACCGCAGCTACCTGTGGTACTTCAGGAGTGTTAGAAAGTCCACTGTAGTCCATGATGAAATCATTTTGAATACAACAGGCAGCCACAATTTTCTAACTAGAAAAAAAAAAAACACAACTCAAAATTGTGCAATTCAATAGGTTCTTAGAAATTAAAACATTGAGCAATTTGAGAGAAGGTACAAGACAGACCACTGACTAAATGTCAAGTTCATTTGTTAACACTACGCACATTAAAAAGACCACCATTTAAACATGATTCTCCGTTAAAAGAAACTTTTAAAACTGGTAGTAGGATTTATGAGAGGCTGTACAATGTGCAAATTACTGTCTGTCATGGCAGGCACACCTAAATGCAGCAGACATGCAGGGTTTCTTTCTGCCCACAAGACATTGAAAGATGTCCAAGTCATGTTTTGAAGCAAAAGCGCTCAACAAGTCTTTTACGTCTGACAGCAGGTATCATTTAAATCTGTCCTTTAGTCTTCAGAGTACATGTGACAGCACACAACTGCACTGCATCACTGACGTAATCAGGCGGTGACAGTTTGCTCATGACTTCCAGTAAGATTACAATAAAAATTGCAGGGAAAGATTACTGGACATGAGAAGTTATTTTTTCTTTAAATTGATAATTACCAGGCCCACATAGAAATTGTGCAAATTCAAATGGCCACACATTTTACACATGGAAGCTTGTTTCCCCCATGGGGTAAAAAATAAAAAAGGCAATTGCAACTTTATCTCCATATTATTATTATTATTATTATTATTATTATTTTTTTTTTTTTCTTTCTTGCAATTCTGAGTTTATATTTCACTGTTCTGTAAACTCGGAATTGCGAAATGTAAACTTGGAACTGCAACAACAACAAAAAAAAAGTCAGAATTCTAAATTTAAATAATTCAGATTTTTTTCAGAATTGTGAGATATAAACTCAGAATTGCAATACAAGATTCCAATATCTTTCTTAATTATATCTTTCAATTCTGAGTTTATATCTCACAATTGTAATCTCAGAATTGGACCTTTTTGTTGCAATTTCGAGAAAAAATAAAATTACCATATATATATTTTGTGGTGGCAACAGGCTTACATGCATTCCTCCTTGCATTTTTTTTTTAAGTACTTTTTGCTAATTTGTTATGCACAGCTACCAATAAGCTTGTAGTCCACTGAACATGTTCTAACATTTGAATCCTCAGAATTCAGTAGATTTTGCCCTTGAAAATGCACAGATTCCATCTCGGCCTGACATTAAGTGTATAAGCATAACACAGAGATAAGAATACAGTCCCAATTAATAATAATAATAATCATTCATACAGCAGGCTGAACATGGTTTTACTGACTGCCTTCCTTGATTTGTTCTTTATCCCCAAAGACAATATCGATTCACCAAGCCATTTGTAAGATTCCCCTGCTAAAGAGCTGGATGACTTTGAGTAACGCTCATGAAGGCCCAATATTTTCATTATCATCATAGCCACACTGCAATATGTTGCATATTGAGGACACAGCAGATGCTTAACTAGAATGAGAAGCTACTGCATCCAAACTACAACCTTAAACCGGCTGCTGATGGAGCAAGTGCAGAAAACGCAGATTTCACGAAGTTTATTAGTTTGCTAATTTGATTTAATTATGCTTACAGTTACCACTAAAAATGTCGTTTAACACATTTTTAGCATGTTTTAATTCATTTTTGCAGAAAATGTCTGCAGATTGCGCCTGGGCCGGTTATAAGGTAATCAGTTCCACAAACTAAACGCATACAAACGCACTCAATATTTCACTCTCTCTCACGCTTTCATCCGGGTTTGTTCTCCTGCTAAATTAAGTTAAAATGTGTATTTAGCATTTGTAGTGATACATGCACCCAGTAGACTGCTGATTTACAATTATTTTTTTCTTAAAAATAAAAAGTAAAAAAAAAGTATTAGAAACACGGCTATACAGAGTCTTTAGCTAATCCAAGGAGCGAGGTTTGGAAGGAGGAGCCCCATGTCCAGATGTGATGCGGTTGGTTAGGCGGTGAGGACCGTCAGCGTTTAGTTGCTACAGCAGGGACCTTTCGCGGGCTGTGCCGTTTCGGTTAGATCCACACCTCTGTTGCGTCCTGTGCTGGCACCTGCAGGCGGAGGCTCATTCTTGGGTAGTTTCTTTGCTAAGGTGAAAAAAAAAGACAACAGATATTTTGTAAATATGAAAAGTGATGTTTCATTATGTTCGTGAGTTAAAGGAATAGTTCCCACAAAAATGGAAATTTGTTGAAAATGTACTCAAGCCATCCAAGATGTAGATGAGTTTTTCTTCACTGTAACCGATTTAGCAGAAATGTAGCATTACATCAACTGCTCATCAATGCAGTGAATGGGTGCCGTCAGTCCAAACAGCTGATAAAAACATTACAATAATCCACACGACAACAGTTCATCAATTAATGTCTGTGTTTGTAAGAAACAAATCCATCATTAACATGTTCTAACTTTAAATCATTCATCCAGTGAAAAAGTCCATCTCCTGTTGTCTCTCACATCAAAATCCACCAACATATGTGACCCTGGACCACAAAACCAGTCATAAGTATCACGGGTATATTATGTAGCAATAGCCAAAAACACATTGTTTGGGTTAAAATTATCGATTTTTCTTTTATGCCAGAAATCATTAGGATGTCAAGTAAAGATCATGTTCCATGAAGATATTTTGTAAATGTCCTACCGTAAATGTATCAATGTATTATCATTAGTAATATGCATTGCTAAGGAATTCATTTGGACAACTTTATAGGCGATTTTCCGAATATTTAGATTTCTTTGCACCCTCAGATTCCAGATTTTCAAATAGCTGTATCTCGGCCAAATATTGTCCTATCCTAACAAACCATACATCAATGGAAAGCTTACGTATTCAGCTTTCAGATGATGTATACGTCTCAATTTAAATAAAATGACCCTTATGACTGGTTTTGTGGTCCAGGGTCACATTTGTTTAGAAATGTTTCACTTATAGACAGTGCTTGATCTGTGTATATTTCTCACCTGATTCAGGCGAAATTATTATTTTTCACTAGGAAAAGCAATATTATGGATAGAGGACTCGTATTTTAGCTAGAAGGAGCGGTCTGTAGTTAAAAACTTCTTAATGGATTTGTTTCTTACAAACACGCAGCTTTCCAGACGCATTCTGATGGCACCCATCTGCAGAGGATCCACTGGTAAGCAAGTGATGTAATGCTAAATTTCCCCATATCTGTTCAGATGAAGAAACAAACTCATCTATATTTTGAATGGTCTGAGGGTGAGAGAATTTTCAGCATTTCTTTTATTTTTTGGTGAACTACTCCTTTAACATGAAATGGCACTCACAACCCATTTTATCTCTAAACTGTGACATATTTTCTTGAGTGAAACCAGATAGTCCAGGTACAAAATTTAGGGTAGGCCCTGCAGGGCTCATGCTTACATGTTTGTACCTCTAACTTAAAACCAACAGAATTCTGTCTATGTTTAAAAGGATATTAATAAAATTCATAATATGACAATATTAATTACGTTTCCACATAATACTAACCATTTTCAACATTGACAATAATCAGAAATGTTTCTTGAGCAGCATATCAACTTATTAGAATGATTTCTGAAGGATCATGTGGCACTGAAGACTGGAGTAATGATGCTGAAAATTCAGCTTTGAATCACAGGAATAAATTACATATTAAAATAGAAAAAAGTTATTTTAAATTGCAATAATATATTACAATATTACTGGTTTTACTGTCTTTTTGTTAAGCATAAAAGACTTTTAACACTAAAAAAATCATACTGATCCTAAACTTTTGAATGGCAGTGTCTAACTATTTACCAAAAAAGTAGCGAGTAAAACTGGGTGACAACTTACCAATGGCCATAAAAATCTCATTCACATTCATTGAAGACTTTGCCGACGTTTCCATAAAGAGCAAACTGTTGTCATCTGCATATGACTGTGCATCCTGTGTACAAAAAAAAAAAGTCAGGGTTTCAGACACTAAACAGACAGCTCTAAGCGACTGAAAGTCTGCACGGCATGTTTGTTTGTTTATATACAGTTCCACATCTCATTTGTAAAGCCAACAGAAAGCGTCTGCTCCTCTGTGGCTGTTCAAACATCGCAAACCTGACAGTCCAGCGCTCTCTTGTTGGCAAGGTCTGCCTTGTTTCCAGCCAAAGCTATTACAATATTTGGACTGGCTTGCCTCTGAAGCTCTTTCACCCAGTTTTTCGCACGTGCAAATGATTCCTGAAAGAAAAGAAAAAACATGCATTTCTGTAAAGCATTTTCTGTACCTCTCTCGTTTGTGCTTAAAGGGGACATATCATTTTTTTTTATAGTTAATTATTCTCTCACGGCCCAAAGAGGTTTTTTAAAAAAAAAAACCTTTTTTCACCCTCTCGCTGACTTAAATTAAATGGGATTTTTTTTTTTTTGTATTCATAAACACATTTTTTTGCATGTGAAATGAGTAACAACACTTTGCCACATTCACACTCAGGTTGCAGGTTTGCTGAAAGGATTTTAGACAAGTCATTTTGCACCTTAGTTTTAATAATTGCTCTTTTTGGACTTGGGAGGAAGTTTTGGGTTCAATCTCAAAACTGAATTGAACTGAAATGAATCGAACTGACTCAAGCTAAATAACGACACTGTTGTCTTCTGTAGAGCTGTTTCTGTAGATCTTTACACAGTTATTGAACTGAATCCGAACCAACACATAACTGACCGATGACACTATCAGAATTAGAATTTTTTTGTATCATGGTTGCATCATGTTATTTTCCCATTTATTACTGTGAAGCTGCTTTGAAACAATCTGTATTGTATAAAGTGCCTTATGAATAAATGTAACTTGACACAAAAAATCGGATGCATCATTTAAGCAGCAGAGTAAACCGAGCATGTTAGGACTCACTTCATTTGTAATGTCATACACCACTATGGCCGCCTGCGCTCCTCTGTAATACATTGGGGCCAGACTGTGGTAACGCTCCTGGCCAGCTGTATCCCAGATCTCAAACTTCACTGTTGTGTCATCCAAACATAATGTCTGAGTCAAGAAGGCAGCTAGTGGAATGAGGACAGAGACTGGTCAGATCTTGCCATCAGTATCTGGTAATTGCTTGTAATTAGGGCTGGGCAGTATGACTGCATATACCAATGGTAGAAATGTGTTAGCCAACTGACAGACGACAGACATTGTTTATGAACTGCCACTGTGTTAAGCCTTAAATATCCTTTGTGCTTTGACACAAACCCAGTGACATCAGTCTTGTGTCCTTAAACACCACAAACAAAAACCAAAGCCATGATGGGAATGGAATACTAGACTATTACATCCTGAATAATACTATATATTGTAGATGGTCATTTCTGGCAAATGACAAAAGTTAAATCATACTTGAATCATAATTAAATGATAAATCATAATTATGAGATAAAAAGACAATGACATAAAACGTAATTATGACATAAGTCATAATTATGAAATAAAAAAATGAAATTGACATAAAATGTCAAAATAATGAGTCATAATTATGAGTCAACTGACAAGTTGAAATTGAGAAAAGAAAAATTCATAATTACAAGTCATTCATGGCAAAAATTCAACTTTTCATTTGATCTCATTTTGAAATTAATGTTATAAATGTGACTTATCTAATATTTATGATTCATCAGTGCATGTTTTTTTTCTTATGTGGTAGAAATGGGCTTCCATAGTATATATTGTTTACTGTAGGGATGCTCATTTCAGTTATTTTTCTTAAACGACAACCAACGCTCGTTAACCGATTATTAACCGTTAACCGACAAGATTATTTTAAATTAGAATTGAATTAAAGTAGAAAGGATAAGTGTCTGTGAGTGTGAACCGTTAAAAATACTAACATTTGTTTCCCGGGGATGAATTTTACATGCGCAAAAAGCAGCAAACAACAGAACATGAGGATTCACTTGGTCATATTGGCTAATCATGATTATTTAATATACACAACCTAATTTATTTTTTCCAGCAAAATAAATAGTTATATCATGATATGTCATTGCTATAGCATAAGATTTTGGTCATACTGCCCATCCATAAATTAAATTACGGCAAAGATAACTAGTTATATTTGGTGTTATAGCATTACCGTATAACAGTAACATACTGCCTATCTGTATATCAAATTAAATAAACGGTATTGATAAAGCATGACTTGTCAAAACAAACTGCTGCAGGCTTTGATTGGCTAATATTGTGTTTACTGTACAAATCAGTAGGTAACTTCAATTTCAAAGTGATAGTCAAATAAAATCAATAAAATATATATATATTTTTTCCAGCAAAAAAAAATAGTTATGTTAGTTATATTATACTAGTGATATACCATTACCATAACACACAATTTTGGTCAAACTGCCCATGCATAAGTGCATCAGCATCACATCAGATTTGAGTTATTATATGCAGGGAATATAATGTATGTCTTACCTCCTATTGTGCTTTCCTGAAACTCGTGAAACTGTCCTTTTACAAAGCGAAGGACTAGACTTGACTTCCCCACAGCGGACTCTCCCAGGAGCACTAGTTTGAATTGACAGATTTTGTTGCCGGTGTTCGGCCCGTTAGGTCTCGCTGCTCCACCTCTTCCTGCCATGACCTTAAGCCCCAATCCCCTGTACTGAAGTCAAGAGGTGCTTCTCAAACGGTCACTCCCAGATCTGCAGGAACAAACATTAATAATCAAGTATCACTCCTCAGTTAACAACACTATTACGTAATGCAATATATCAGGGGTGTCTTGGTTAGCCAAATACAACATGAGGATAACAAGAGATGCAGAATATACAGTGGTGGACAATTATTAACAATATGCCATTTTCCATATTCTGTAATAAACATAATCCTACAAGTTGAGACCCAGATCTTCAGATCATATATTGTAATGTATGAGACTGTAACACTGATATAGAAAGAACATCTATTGTGTAGTTTGTCATGCCATCAATTACATCCATACCAATGCGGTCACATGACTAAATCATAGACAACAGACATTGTTTATGAACTGCCACTGTGTTAAGCCTTAAATATCCTTTGTGCTTTGACCCAAAAACCCAGTGTCATCAGTCTTGTGTCCTTAAACACCACAAACAAAAACCAAAGCCATGATGGGAATGGAATACTAGACTATTACATCCTGAATAATACTATATATTGTAGATGGTCATTTCTGGCAAATGACAAAAGTTAAATCATACTTGAATCATAATTAAATGATAAATCATAATTATGAGATAAAAAGACAATGACATAAAACGTAATTATGACATAAAGTCATAATTATGAAATAAAAAAATGAAATTGACATAAAATGTCAAAATAATGAGTCATAACTATGAGTCAACTGACAAGTTGAAATTGAGAAAAGAAAAATTCATAATTACAAGTCATTCATGGCAAAAATTCAACTTTTCATTTGATCTCATTTTGAAATGAATGTTATAAATGTGACTTATCTAATATTTATGATTCATCAGTGCATGTTTTTTTTCTTATGTGGTAGAAATGGGCTTCCATAGTATATATTGTTTACTGTAGGGATGCTCATTTCAGTTATTTTTCTTAAACGACAACCAACGCTCGTTAACCGATTATTAACCGTTAACCGACAAGATTATTTTAAATTAGAATTGAATTAAAGTAGAAAGGATAAGTGTCTGTGAGTGTGAACCGTTAAAAATACTAACATTTGTTTCCCGGGGATGAATTTTACATGCGCAAAAAGCAGCAAACAACTGAACATGAGGATTCACTTGGTCATCTGCACCTGCAGTGCTTCTGCAAGCGGAGAAAAACATCATAAAGCTAGGCTATATATATATATTGCAATATATCAGGGGTGTCTTGGTTAGCCAAATACAACATGAGGATAACAAGAGATGCAGAATATACAGTGGTGGACAATTATTAACAATATGCCATTTTCCATATTCTGTAATAAACATAATCCTACAAGTTGAGACCCAGATCTTCAGATCATATATTGTAATGTATGAGACTGTAACACTGATATAGAAAGAACATCTATTGTGTAGTTTGTCATGCCATCAATTACATCCATACCAATGCGGTCACATGACTAAATCACAGACGACAGACATTGTTTATGAACTGCCACTGTGTTAAGCCTTAAATATCCTTTGTGCTTTGACACAAACCCAGTGACATCAGTCTTGTGTCCTTAAACACCACAAACAAAAACCAAAGCCATGATGGGAATGGAATACTAGACTATTACATCCTGAATAATACTATATATTGTAGATGGTCATTTCTGGCAAATGACAAAAGTTAAATCATACTTGAATCATAATTAAATGATAAATCATAATTATGAGATAAAAAGACAATGACATAAAACGTAATTATGACATAAGTCATAATTATGAAATAAAAAAATGAAATTGACATAAAATGTCAAAATAATGAGTCATAATTATGAGTCAACTGACAAGTTGAAATTGAGAAAAGAAAAATTCATAATTACAAGTCATTCATGGCAAAAATTCAACTTTTCATTTGATCTCATTTTGAAATTAATGTTATAAATGTGACTTATCTAATATTTATGATTCATCAGTGCATGTTTTTTTTCTTATGTGGTAGAAATGGGCTTCCATAGTATATATTGTTTACTGTAGGGATGCTCATTTCAGTTATTTTTCTTAAACGACAACCAACGCTCGTTAACCGATTATTAACCGTTAACCGACAAGATTATTTTAAATTAGAATTGAATTAAAGTAGAAAGGATAAGTGTCTGTGAGTGTGAACCGTTAAAAATACTAACATTTGTTTCCCGGGGATGAAGTCCTTAAACACCACAAACAAAAACCAAAGCCATGATGGGAATGGAATACTAGACTATTACATCCTGAATAATACTATATATTGTAGATGGTCATTTCTGGCAAATGACAAAAGTTAAATCATACTTGAATCATAATTAAATGATAAGTCATAATTATGAAATAAAAAAATGAAATTGACATAAAATGTCAAAATAATGAGTCATAATTATGAGTCAACTGACAAGTTGAAATTGAGAAAAGAAAAATTCATAATTACAAGTCATTCATGGCAAAAATTCAACTTTTCATTTGATCTCATTTTGAAATTAATGTTATAAATGTGACTTATCTAATATTTATGATTCATCAGTGCATGTTTTTTTTCTTATGTGGTAGAAATGGGCTTCCATAGTATATATTGTTTACTGTAGGGATGCTCATTTCAGTTATTTTTCTTAAACGACAACCAACGCTCGTTAACCGATTATTAACCGTTAACCGACAAGATTATTTTAAATTAGAATTGAATTAAAGTAGAAAGGATAAGTGTCTGTGAGTGTGAACCGTTAAAAATACTAACATTTGTTTCCCGGGGATGAATTTTACATGCGCAAAAAGCAGCAAACAACAGAAAACGTAATTATGACATAAAGTCATAATTATGAAATAAAAAAATGAAATTGACATAAAATGTCAAAATAATGAGTCATAACTATGAGTCAACTGACAAGTTGAAATTGAGAAAAGAAAAATTCATAATTACAAGTCATTCATGGCAAAAATTCAACTTTTCATTTGATCTCATTTTGAAATGAATGTTATAAATGTGACTTATCTAATATTTATGATTCATCAGTGCATGTTTTTTTTCTTATGTGGTAGAAATGGGCTTCCATAGTATATATTGTTTACTGTAGGGATGCTCATTTCAGTTATTTTTCTTAAACGACAACCAACGCTCGTTAACCGATTATTAACCGTTAACCGACAAGATTATTTTAAATTAGAATTGAATTAAAGTAGAAAGGATAAGTGTCTGTGAGTGTGAACCGTTAAAAATACTAACATTTGTTTCCCGGGGATGAATTTTACATGCGCAAAAAGCAGCAAACAACAGAACATGAGGATTCACTTGGTCATATATCACATCACGCACCTGCAGTGCTTCTGCAAGCGGAGAAAAACATCATAAAGCTAGGCTATATATATATATTTTACATGCGCAAAAAGCAGCAAACAACTGAACATGAGGATTCACTTGGTCATCTGCACCTGCAGTGCTTCTGCAAGCGGAGAAAAACATCATAAAGCTAGGCTATATATATATATATTAATATAATAATAATAATAATAAATAGGCCTATACGAGAAATATATTTTTATTTAAATAATACATTAAGAAAACGAAAGAGAAACTGTGCAACAAGTAGCCTAGTATGCAGAGTTTCGGTTCATTTTTGTGCTGCGTAAAAGGAAACCAGACGGTAGAAAGCGGCATCCTATTTTTCTTTAGGATTATTTTACAAAAGCACAAATTTGTTTTTATTGTGAATGTACACAAATAAAAGCAAACCTTTTCAAATTCTGATTATATTTATGACTAAAAGGAGTAGTTGCTTTCACTGTTAGAAGGGGAAAAAATTCAAGTGATTGCGCCGGCGCCGCATGCGCGCACACAGTTAAGCATTGCTACCTTGACGATGCAGCCTGCTCATTATCATAATAAAATACAGTCAGTCAAACATATGGAAAAAAACACACTGCTCATTTCAAATATGTAGTAAAGTCTGTGCCGTTAAGCGTTATCACCGCACCGCCGTGATGTTATGCAAAACATTTTGTTTTACGTGGATATTGGAACGCCAGTGAAGTAGGCTACATGGTTTCAGTTTCGTTTTAGCCTAAATAAATTCGTTTTGGCTTGTCGTTTACATAGCTATAGCTTCTTATATTTTTAATTCTTGTTCTTTTCTAAATACTGTTAATTGAAAGGATTTGTTGTGTAGTGAGGGGAATTAAAATAGCCTAGCTATGTTTACACTGTTTATTATAATGTTTGTAAATATTCCACGTCGGCCTTAGGCCTATTTCTGAATGAAATTATAAAATGCGACTTATACTCGACTTGCGTTTTTTTCTTCTTTTAAAAAACTTTTTTTTTTATATATACGCATATCGTATTTTAACCATGCAGCAAATCTTTTTTAAATATTTTGATAAATTACTGAAAAAAATTCATAAATTACTTTTTCAACCGTTTAACTGATTGTATTAATCGGTCAAAAATTATTACGGTCGGTTAACGGTTAACCGGTTAAAATGAACATCCCTAGTTTACTGCCAACTGTTTTTAGCAGTAATGTAACGAAACAATAAGAAAAAGTCCATAATATCCACAGAGCAAAAAAAGTTAAGAATATTTTAGTACGCAAAAATAGTTCAGAGCAAGAACATTTCCATCATCGATATCCCAGTGTTTTCTTTTACTTTCTAATTCCTTAATTTGATTTTTAAACCAGGCTACACAATGAAGTAATGTGGACATACACGTTTTTAATTTTTTGGCGCATACATTTCAGGTGTTTTCTGTAGTACTGTAAAGTACAAAAACATATAGTAGGTCATTCAGAAGAAAACTTCCATGATGTGCACATAGTACGTTTACTGCAAGAAATTAGTGTGGTAATATGCTATTCAAACACAGCCCAAGTCCCTTTGCCTCTCTGGTTTACCAAGTCTAGGCTATACATACTTTACATATAACCCTGTTATATCTTATGCGATACAGAAATTATGAGACACAGTAGTGCTGGGCGGTATACCGGTTCATACCGAATACCGGTTTTTATTTTTATGATGATATGAATTTTGAAAATACCGCAATACCGGTGTATGGCACTTAAATAACGTTCGGAACGCGACACTGTTTGAAAGGGGTGTTGCACTGTGGTGAAGGAACAGCTGTATGTGTTACTAAGCCTGAAAGTTCAGAAACTGAAGCTGTAGAACTAATAGAACGTGATGACACAGAAGAACTCATCCACAATATCCACACTGACCTCCACAAATAGTGAAAAATACCGTGATATACATTTTTAGTCATACCGCCCAGCACTAAGACAGAGTGACAGTGCAAAACACAGGTCTGTTATTGACACAAATGATCAGAGCTTGTGATTGCTTCTAAACACTTTTAACTTAAAAGGCGATCATAAATAGCAATGTATTTACATTTCACATCAGAATTAATAGTATATGCTCAAATTAAATAAACATTATTGATAAAACATGACTTATAGCATAATCTGGCTCTTCAAAACAAACCGCAGCACGCTTTGATCGGCTAATATTGTGTTTACTGTACAATTTAGTACGCAACTTCAATTTCAGAGTGATTACAAAATAAAATCACTGAATTATTTAATAGGAAAACGTATTTGATGTCACGATATGAAGCTGCCTGTTAGCTTGTGCTGCTAACTGTGCTAACGATAGTGCGTGTTTCTTTGTCTTTCTAAGACACGCATGTAAACATACAGTCGTGTTCTAATGGTGTTCTCAGCGGTACTTTAACGGGTCTGTCTTGCTAACTGTGCTAACGATAGTGCGTGTTTCTTTGTCTTTCTAAGACACGCATGTAAACATACAGTCGACTCCATGACAGTCGTGTTCTAATGGTGTTCTCAGCGGTACTTTAACGGGTCTGTCAGTCTCTCAGATGCTCCGGTTCAAATGGCTCCCGAAAGCTAAGGGTGCTAATGCTAAGAGAAAAACAGGCCGCGCGCACACTGAGCGTGACACCTCATAAATAAACTGTTAAAACGCAAGAAATCATAAATAACTGAACAACAGTATGGCTTATTTCCAAAACAAAGTAAAAGACATTAAAATGAACCTAACAGTACAAATCTTTAAAGCCCAGCGACTCATACCTTCCTCTCGGTTCCTCCCAACTTCCCCTTTTGCGTCAAACCTGATGATGACGGATCGGATGACTGGTTGTGACGTCAGACGCATCGGAGCGAAATCGGCCAATCAGAACAACGCTCATCACAAATATTTTTTTCATAACACGGATGATTTTAATTTTGTTGAATTGAGATATTATTATTATTATTGAATTGTTAAAATTGAGTTATTATTATTATATTTTTTGATTTAATGTAACTTTTGCAATCCACTTAAGTCATTACAGTTATGCATTTGAATCATATTTACATTTAGTCATTTAGCAGACGCTTTCATCCAAAGCGACTTACAAATGAGGACAATGGAAGCAATCAAAATCAACAAAAGAGCAATGATATACAAGTGCTATAACAAGTCTCTGTTAGCCTAACACAGTAAACGTAGCAAGTTTTTTTTTTAAATAATATATAAATAAATAAAAAGAAAACCGATAGAATAGAAAAAGATTAGAAAGCAAGTGTTAGTTAATTTTTTTTTTAGTACTTAAAGCCTTTTAAAAACAATTGAAATACCTTTTTTCTTCAAAACAAGATTTTTTTCACGAGTCTTTTTCCAATTAAAAGCACACTGACAACTTTGATATAGGCTACTTTTAGAATAGAAAATAAGCACGTTTAATTTAGAAATCGATTTTTTTTATTATCAACTTGACGCCTCGACGTTTCCTCAGCGCGTTGTCAAGGTAACGGAAGGTAAACAAGCACTGCTACTTGTTTGTAACGTATACATCATGTCTATGGTTGGTAAGGCTTTGTAATTAGGCTCGCTGTTGTAAAGTTGGTTTTTGTTTAGATGGTTAATTTGTTTTAAATAATTCTGCATTAAAAGTGTGAGCGTGTAGGCATGAGTCTCATAGAGCGGAATTCATCCACCTGGAGACGCAGAGACACGTTTCCAGACATCCGCGCGGTATGATTAATTATTCTTCTTTTACATGGATTTCTCGACTATAATTATGCAACAGATATTACTAAGTTTTAATGTATAATAATTTCCACTGAAAGGCAGGAAAGCTCATTCCAGTTGGTGACAGAACTAACACTTGTCTGCAGGAAATTACTCCAGGGGTGGGTCATTTACTAGAAACTATTTTCTTTTACTAACTGGATGTATTTATATATTTTTGCCTTTTATTTTATTTCATATTTTAATTTTTTTAAACGGTAAATTGTTGTACCAAACAATTTTTTGTGTGTATAATAAATATATATATATATATATATATATATATAACCTTACCAAAAACCAAACCAAACAGTTGACCGGCATTTTATAACATTTTATTAATTTTTTATTTTTATTTTTATAGACTTTAACTCCACCTGTGGTGAGGAAGTTTGTCAATTCTGCTCGGCCGCCAGTTGGGACAGTCCGGGTCTTCCATGGAAAAGCAAACGATCCTGATATTGGCAGCACACTAGTCCACGGCGTGAACACTAAATCTTCCATTAATGTAAGACAGTCATAATGTCAAAATTATTTTAGTGGTTATTCTCATTGCTTGATGTTTAAACTGTTTTAACTTGCTATGTGAAACAAGACCAGTCATAATTTCAGTTCGTATTTCACCCAAAATCAAAAGAAAAAATAGTTTTGTGCTTTTTTTTTAGACTTGAAAACAATTTATTCATGAGCTTTTTTTTTTTCAAATTAAAAGCACATTGGCAACTTTAGTAATAGATTATACTTTAGTAATTGCAAATGTAATAGATAAAAAAAACCCCGTGTTGTTTGTTCACTGCATGCATGCATTTTCAGGCTGGATTCGTGATCAATCCTGCACCAAAAACACGCTTCCAAGAGAGGCTCCGTCAGCTTCAAGAAACCAATTATGCCACCAATCGGAAAGCTCCTCTTGGGAGGTCACAGGTTCAAGGCCCTGGTTTACCAAGCTGGCTTGATCCTGAGAAAACCACTTTTGGTGTCACAGCGCTCCAGTGTATGAGTAATAGCCAAACCTCACTAGCATAGTCATGAATTGACTCAATAATCAAAAGAAACAGCGAATCTGTGAATTCTTTTAAATGCAGTATCTAACGGTGGTGAGATCATCAATCCACCCAAAACCGCACATCAGGTGAAGAAGGAAGCGGACGAGGGACATCAGCTCTACATTCGCTCACACGGATCCTACTTTGTAGGTCAGTTAAAATGAAGCTCATTCAGGGGTCAAAGTCTTTGGTTAAACTGTTCATAACTTTTTCAATTTTCTTTGTTTTGAAACTACAGTCTTTTTCTCTTGTGCTCATTTTGGCATCATTTCAGAAAATGCAGATAGACCGCTTTTGACTGCATTTGTCTCTTTGCTGTTGCAGGAGAGCGTGTGGACAGGAAGTACAATTGCAGTCACTATGGGAGAGACAGTAGGTTTGGTGTCACTACGCCTCATTACAATGATGGGAGAACCATCTCCAGATCTCTGCAGTGGCCCTCTGACTCGCTAATGTAAACTAATACAGACACATGCACCTTAACTTACTGTACATTTTGCTTATAGCTGAAGATCTGAACATACCGTAATTTATTAGCATTGATTAAGGTGATTTCAAATAATTTCTGTTTTCAGATAAAAACTTAAATGTTAATACTGTTAAATGTAAACTTTATTTTTTTTTATTTAAATTGTATAATTGTATATTATAGTGTGTGTGTGTGTATATATATAAATATATATACACACACGCACACACGATCATTCAGAAATCATTCTACTATGCTGATTTGGTGTTCAAGAAACATTATTATTATTATTATTATTATTATTATTATCAATGCTGAAAAAGGTTTTTCTGCTTATTATTTTGTGAAAACCATGATACACTGCTATTTAAAATGATTTCATTTTTTTTTATTCAGCAAGGATGCATTAAATTGATCAAAAGTGACAGTAAATACATTTTATAATGTAAAAAAAATTCAAATAAATGCTGACTTTCTAATCATCAAAGAATCCTGAAAGATTTTTTTTTACAAAGATATTAAGCAGGAAACAATGTCTTCAACATTGATAATAATAAGAACCATTATTAATAATTTAGCACCAATAATTGCTGAACAGCAAAAAAAGTCATATTAGAATGATTTCTGAAGGATCATGTGACGCTGAAGACTGGAGTAACGATGCTGAAAATTCAGCTTTTCATCACAAGGATAAATTACATTTTATAATATATTTAAATAGAAAACAGTTATTTAAAATTTAGTAATATTATTTTGTATTTTTGATCAAATAATGCAGCCTTGGTGAGCAGAAGAGACTTTCAAAAGCATTAAAAAAATATATCTATATATACAGTCATGGCCAAAAGTTTTGGCAGTGACATAAATTTTGTGTTTTGCAAAGTTTGCTGCTTAAGCTGTTGTGGTGTTCATTCACATTGTTTCTAGATTATTGTGTAGAGTAGTCAGATGCATTTTAAATAATTGCTAAAAGTTTCATTGGCCAAAAAAAGTAACTTTTCACAAAAAAACAAATTTCACAGTTTTTTTGATCCTGACACAATTTAACCAGCTAACATTAAATGACTAATCATATCAGCAGCACATGTGAAAGTGTGAATGAGTACTAGTCAGGTGAAATCACTATCATACTAAATAGATTGTAAGAGCAGACTGATGGAGGGAAGAAGCGCTTCCAATCATTGTGTTCTTGTTAGCAATGGTTACCTCCAAAGAAACACGTGCAGCCATCATCGCTTTGCATCAAAATGGACTCACATGCAAGAAAATTGCTACAAAGTATATTGCACCTGAAAGAACCATTTACCGGATCATCAAGAACTTCAAGGAGAGAGGTTCGCCTGCAGTGAAGAAGTCTTCAGGACGTCCCAGAGTGTCCAGCAAGCGCCAAGACCGTCTCCTCCTGAGGAGTCAGCTACGGAATCGTGTCACCAGCAGTGCAGAGCTTGCTCAGGAATGGCAGCAGGTTGGTGTGAGAGCATCTGCACGCACAGTGAGGCCAAAACATTTGGACAACGGCCTGGTGTCAAGAAGGGGAGCAAAGAAGCCACGTCTCTCCAAGAAAAACGTCAAGGACAGACTGAAATTCTGCACGAAGCACAAGGATTGGACAGCAGAAGACTGGCGCAAAGTAATTTTCTCTGATGAAGCTCCCTTCTGTTTGGGACATCTGGAAAATCGATTGTTCGGAGAAAAAAAGGTGAACGCTACCATGAGTCCTGTGTTGTGCTAACAGTGAAGCATCCTTCCATGTGTGGAAGACCATGTGTGGGCTTGCTTTTCAACCAAGGGAGTGGGCTCTCTCATAATTCTGCCCAAAAACACTGCCATGAATAAAGAATGGTGTCAAAACGTCCTGCAAGAGCGACTTCTTTCAGCGATCCATGAGCAATTTGGTGATGATCCGTGCATTTTTCAGTATGATGGAGCACCATGTCACAAAGCAAGAGTGATAAAGAAGTGGCTCGAAGATCATTACATTGAAATTTTGGGTCCGTGTCCAGGCAACACCCCGGATCTCAATACCATAGAGAACCTCTGGTCAGTCCTCAAAAGGCGAGTGGACAAGCAGAAGCCCACAGATTGTGATCATCTCCGAGAACTAATAAGGCAAGAATGGATCACCATCAGTCAGGATTTGGCCCAGAAGCTGATATCCAGCATGACAGAGTAAATTGCAGAGCTTATGAAGAACAAGGGTAAACACTGTAAATATTGACCCATTATATATTTTTTGCCAATAAAAGCCTTTAAAACTTAAATAATCTACAACTACTGAAGCAGCAAACTTTGCAAAACACAAAATTTATATCACTGCCAAAACTTTTGGCCATGACTGTACACACACACACATAGCACCATCTGTAGGGGAGTATTGGGTCATCTGCCCCACTCTCAATCCCAGCACAAGGGTTGAGAAAATCAGAGGTGAACTGCGTTTATAGCTAAATTAATGCATTTTGGGATAAAATCATGCCTCCGGAAAGGTAACCGCATTGTCATTTGTACTATTTTGACAGCTATTATGAATGTCTGTAATTTTCGATATTCAGTTTATAATGACAATCCATATTTCGTTTCAAATGTT